TCCCAAGATGATAAGAGGTAACAGGCGATTTTGGGCATGTTGAAATTGAGAGTGACTTCGATTCCGCGATAACCAGTTGATATTTGATGTTTACATTGTTTCGACAGCGAATTCCTTTTATTACTTCTCTCTGCATGTGTGCTTAATCGGCCTTGAAAAACCACCGGCTTCTAGATGAGTTCTTCCCAAAATACTTCGTAGCAGTAGGGTGGCAAAGCCATTTGAATGTTTCCAACCATTTTACTGCCAGTAGGAACTTTACTGTTGAGCGCTCACTGATAATATAGATGATATGTCACGTATCATTAGCACGAGCGATTTGAAAGCCGTTTTGTAGATGAATAAATGGATGAATTGTGTCGTTTTCGCATTCGATGTTCTCCTCCATTGGCCATAGGGCAAACAGCCGTTCACCATTGTAAATTTATCGCGTAATCCTCCGTCCTATGACAACCTAGATAGAGCATTACTAAGAGCAACAGATAAGAAGAAACTCAACAAATTGATGCAATCGTCAAGAACTTCTTTGCCAGCAAGTTTTCGATTGTTCAAGAACCAAAAACAATTAATTCCTTGATTTCAATAGAACATTTTGAAAAGATTGTTGGACATATGTGGAAGAATTATGAATTCAAAAAAAANNACCTCAATTCACATCGAGCATTCTCGTAGTTTCCTGCAGGACGAGGAATATTCACTCGATAATGAGCATCACTCAGATGAACGAATCATATATTTGCGGATATTTCAAGTGTCCACAGACACTCAAAATGTTTTTTGTTCGAAAGTCAGTCAGTCATTTCAAGATCAAATTATCCGTTCGATGTCCATCGACAAATTTCGTTCACCACTTTTATTCTATTATAATTCCATTCGTGCACATGGCCAGTGCCCCGTCTTCATGTCTGCGATATTATTCCAATCGTAAGGTAATGCACTCACCCATCGGATATCACTTGGACTAGTGGACAGTTGGCTTTATCGGATCGGTCTTACCGTGTTATTCCGTTAATCCGACGGTGACTGACTGCATTTGAAATCACTCATGAAAAAAGTAAAAGCCGATCTTCTGTAACAGTTAATAGGTATTTTATAAGTAAGGAGAGTATGTTTGCAAAGTCAAACATACAAAAAGTCAATCATTTCGCATGGATCACGCCTAGACGAAAATGATTCCATTGTACAGATATCTACGGCGATATTCACTATTTGGAAATGCTTAACAACATTCGACGTCTGCAATAGGCATTGTGAATTCTCTCATAATCATTCTTTTACGACAGAGGAGAGATTACATTTATTCTGAATAAGTTTTTGAAATAGGCAATGGATGTAACGTATATGTGATGTGAACATTCAGGTATATTGAACAGGTGTGCTGAATAGAGCGAGTGGGCTAGCTGAACAATTTTGTGCGGTGGCATATGCATAGAAAAGTGAATGAATGCTTTGAGAGGATGGGATTGTGCGCATTGATTATGCGTCATCCGTGTGAAATTATTCATGAAATTGTTGTGCAGATAAAGATCATGCTCGTTTTAAAATTGCACATTGGTTATTATTATTGTATCGTTGAGAGTCTCTTCTTTACACACAAAAACCAACCGAACTGTATTTTGTACAGCAAACGCGCACTCATATATTATACTTGTGTCATGCAATACATCTATAATACATGCGGCGATTGCATGCGATCGCCCTCTCATTCAGTCGATTTGAAACGTATTCGTTCGTCATCTCATGAAGTGATGCCATCCATACAGACAGCATGTTATTCTCAGTCAATAAAAACTAAAGGCTGAATTTTATACCACTGCACTATGTGAACATGTAAACGATTGCTTTTCATGTCATATTCCCGTCATATTTCCCGATAGCAACTGAGGAACTGTTATCGTAACGTTATCATTCCTTGCACAAATCAACAGTCAACCACTGTCTGACCATCCCTTGTCCATGTTTCTCGTGAAATTTCCAAACTAGTCTATCCAATCGAACATTAGTCCCTTCCGAATCGCCTTATTCGTTTCCGTAAATCTCATCCCATTATCAACAACATCATCAACCAAAAAAAATATTATCAATGATGTTACCCCAATCAAAAAAGATTCCATTCGATGCTGAAACCAATCCTAAACCTGTCATCAGGAATAGTGAAATTGATTCGAGTGCTGCATCAACAATCGATGAAGCAGTAGCAGTAGCNCACCACCAGCAGCAGCAACAACAACACGACAAGAGGATTCTGAGTCTGACGGGTACGATTCTGATGGATATCGTGATTTGAGGGGACCGGAATCGCTCGAAACCACCAGTTTCTGTCAGAATCCAATCCGTTTTCTACAAGGCTATAAACTGCTTCAGAATCGTTTCAGCAGCACCACAGTCGTCAGCCGTTCTAGAACGACACTTGCTATTCCCATTGCATCTAAAAAGAGATCTGTGACATTCATCACAGCCACAAGAATGCGAATTTTCTTATTCATAACACTGATCATTCTCCTAGCCTTAACGATCTACGTGCACGCTAATTGGCGACCTGGACAGGTTAAGGCTGCTTCTGTTATTGTTATTATCATTATTATCACTATTATAGTCTTTAGTCTATCAACTCATCTAGTTGTTCTTCGATTCATGAGAGTATTTGAGACAAGTGAATTGAGAATCTAGCATCCAAATTTGAATTTCTGAAGTAAATTCGAAGTCTCATCATACTAATAATGGTTCATCAGTCACACATCATTGTGTTCATAAAGTAGTGAAGTATTACATTACACCATCATGACATCATATTTTTGAGCATTTTCGACATTTCTTTCTATCGAATAGAAAAAAAAAATTTTCATGATGGCAATCTAATTCTCACTGATTTATTTTTGGGCACTCATTTTTTGCTTGGGTAGTTCGCCGAAATCGACATCATTCACTAGAGTCACACTTGGCTGTTATGAATGAATTCGACGAGTTAATTATTGAAATGGATGATTCGAACTTTTCAAATGGAAAATTTGGATTTTTTTGATGAAAGTGATTCATTGTTCTCAAAAAAGACACCACAATGATGATGTCGATCGTTGCTTGAGGGTAATTAATTACAGCCGCGATGGAGTGTATCGCAGATGAGTGATCAAAGCGAGAAGTTGATTTGTCAAATGACAAATCAAACGCTTTTCAAAGAAATCCTAAAGCCTTTACTTGTGCCCCGAATTGTTGGTACTGCGGAGCATAAAGAAGCGGC